TTGTTGGACATTTACATTTTTTCTAGTTTTTCAGTGTTATAAACAATGTTGTAATTAATTTCCTTGTAGTACATGGATCTTTGTAGAATAGATTCTGAGGGGAGATTGTGGGGTTACAGGACATGGGCCATTTAACATTTTGGTGACTGCTGCCTTTCTAGCATCTCAGTTCAAACCTTGAACATGGTACCACCTGCTACCTGCAAAATGACAACTTGAGGTTTTAGTGTCAGATGTACTGAGCCAAGTTTCCAGTTCTATCTCCTCTGGTGCATGTTGTAATTCCGAGAACATTCAATTAACTGCAATCAAAGTAATCAGGACCGCAATTAATCAGGCCACCTTACAGAGTAAGAGGAAAGATATATCTGAGGTTTAGTGAGGGTGGGAGGAACAACTTCTAGGGGCTATCATGGGTCCAGTGTACATTCAGTCCAGTGTCATGACCTTTTTACCTCTATATATTTAGCTCTGAACAATGAGGACTGATGCTCATAATGATGACTTTGACATCTTATAAGATACATCAAAGCAAGAGTGAATGGTACTCGCTAGACAGGATTTTTAAAAACAGGAACCATATATACAAATACTCCTACTACATTTTTGAAGCTTTGTCAACTACAACAAGCATTGAGACAAAAAGTTTGCTGCTTAAATCTTGGTTAGCGAGAAAAACACATTAAACAGATCTCATGTCCCCTAGTCCCCAAACCTTCTATTTAATTTAGATGAACGTATTGGACACTAGGTAAAAAGATACAGAAGAAATAAAGATTCTAAATGTCACCAGTGACCTTCACCAAATCCAGATCAATAGTTATTTCTCTGTATTTTTTCCTGACTTCAGCCTTGGCCTCTGGTGATAGAAAATTATTGGGTCATCTCTTCCTTTTCTGATCGTTTCCTCTCCTTAGAAGAATCTTCTTCACGTTCCCATTCCTTACTTGTGTTCATTTCCTATATTCAGTCTTTAGCTCTTTTCTCTCTGTACTATCTTTTGGAGAACACATCCAGTTTCATGCCTCTCACTCCTAAATTTATATCCCAGTCCTGAAGTCTCCTTGAGCCTACAATCCCATATTGCTAAGTACTTTTTGGATTTTTTCCCCCTGGATATCTCACTTAAAATAAAAACTCTTATTTTCCTTAATATATAAAATGCTTTCAGAAATCCAGAAGAGAAAGACAAACACCTATGTTTTTTTAAAAAAATGGACAAAGACATGAATAGGCAAGTCACATGTATGTATATATAAACACAATACACATATATAGTTGAACAAGAAAAAAAGTTCACTTTCAGTAATAAAATGTAAATTAACTGACATGATACCATTTTCACCATGGTTAAAAAGCTTCAGAAAGTCAGTACTGGTCTATGTATGGGTAAACAGTCACTCCTGTACATTGGTGGTGGAAATAGACATGTGTACTATTCTCTGTTGAGTGATTCTCAGTGTGTATCAAAGTCTTTCAAATGTGTGTGTCTTTGGATTCAATGGGCTTCAATTCTAGGAATAAATTCTAGGAATTTAATCAGAAAGAAATAATCAGAGATATAAGAACAATAATTATTGTTTATATTGTTGAAAACTTGGAAGCATACTAAATGTTTAGCAGTAGATTATTGGCTAAGAAAATCCGGTAAATTCCTACAATGGAATGCTATATGGCTAAAGTTTTAGAAATATACTTCATTACTCAAAAAACATCTATATTATATTAAGTGTCAGTTTATTAAGTCAGGTTATCAGAAGGAATATACAGAATTATCCCTATTTTGTCAGGAAAAAAAAAGATACATACTGGAGGGAAGTACACATAAATATTAACAGTGATTATCTCTGGAGAGTGATATTATGGCTGACTGTGATTTTTCCCCTTTACAATTTTTCATGTTATAAAATTTCTACAGTGAACATTGATTATTTTATAAGATAAAAAGCCTGATAAATGAAGTTTCTTTTAATAATAGCTTATTTAAAACCAGACTCCTCGACTTCCCCACTACACAAGCTCCTTTTCTTGGCTTTCTCTCTTTCATGGTGCCATCAATCCAAGCTCCCGGGCTTAGAACCTTGAAGCTTTAAAGCCTTGATTGCTCCCTCACTACCTCTGCCCAATCGCTCATTAAGTCTCATCCCTTCTTTAGGACGTCTCTCAAATTTTCTCCTCCCTCTTCAGTCCCAAGTCTGATCAGTGCACTCTAACCAGCATTTATTGTCACAGTGCCTGGATGTCACTCTGCTAGTTCAAAGTTATTAGAGCCATCTGCTCATACTGCCCCTTATTCTCTCTCTCCTCCAAATCAATCAAGCACCCTGCCTCTGGAATGATCTTTTTTTGAAAACACTACTTGTATCATGGCCCTTCCTGCCCAAAACACTCAAAATGCCCCCCCCCGCACCCGCCCCAAGTCTTCTGGCCTAGGGAGTAAAGCTCATATCCTTTCTTCTGCTGTTTAGGGCTCTTTCCAGCACTATGCTAGGTGGGAGGTAACGGTGGGCACATGGGAGGTGCTTGGTAAGTCTGACAATGAAGTAAATCTTTAAGAATAAGGCGTGGAGTTCTCCCCACTGCCCTCCACTATCTTCACTTTGAAAGTTCCCTTTCCTCACCTTTTGGCACTTAGACCAGAGGCCTTGGAGCACTTAAAGTTTCATGGTGCTGTGTTTGGAGACAGGAAGAGGGAGGCAAGGGGCAATAAATTATGGCTCAGGAAACCTCAACTATGAGTCCCTCCCAATTTCTGATGGCCTGCTACGTAGGAGGCTCCATCGAGAAAGCACTGTTTTTTTGGTTTTTGTTTTTTAAGATTTTACTGGGGAAGAGAAACAGTTTGTTTTTCCAGGACCCATCAGCTCCAAGACAAGTCATTGTCCTTCAATCTAGTTGTGGAGGGTGCCGCTCAACTCCAAGTCCAGTCGCCATTTTCAATCTAGTTGCGGGGGCACAGCCCACCATTCCATGGAATCCAACTGGCAACCTTGTGGTTCAGAGAATGCGCTCTAACCACCTGAGCCACCCGGCCGCCCCAGCACAGTGGTTCCTAAATCTCTGTCTCCCTGCAGTGTTGAGGACCAAGAAAGAACACTGGGAAAATTACATTATTTTGTTTGCTTTAATAAAAACAATAAGGAGAAAGGGGTGAGGGGATGTGGAAAGGGGTGAATGTAGAACAAGCCCTGAAGGATGTGGGCCACTCATGAAAGCCATCTGTCTTCAGGTGCCCCTCTGGGACCCAGAATACTCCAACCCAGACTGAATGATGGCAGATGGTTGTGTTTCAAGAACTCTTCACTGGGAGTGTGTGTGGGGTGAGATGTGTGAGGGTAATGAACTTGCCAGGTGGCAGTCACTGGCACCTAGCCTTGTCTCTCACTCTTGGAGAATTTGATGGTACTAATGGGAGTAGGATCTCAAGCTGGGTGAAGGGGTTATCTGGGAATCAGTTCTGACAATGTAAGCTGCTGTGAGGCTCCCCCACCAATGCACCCCATCCCTCTCTGTGAAAATATATCCCTATGGACCTAGTCTAAAAGCAGGTCCAGTCCAGGCTAAGGCTAAGAGCTACCTGTTAACAGCCTGGGATGCTGGCTTAGGCCTCCTGGCACTAACCATGCCCTTCTTGGTTTGCTCTTGGCACTTTTTTGGTTATGGAAATCTTGGTTTAACCCCACCTCACAGAAACTTAGACTGCTTACCTAGTCCCCCACTCCTCTTGTCTAGTTTGGCTGTCTCCAACTTTCCTTCTCCTCCTTTCTCCTCTCCCTTGTGGCCATTGGCAGTTAGCACATATTTTGAGTACATGCAGGCTCCTTTTGTGTCCCCTCCACCCCCCCAACCCCCGCTCTTTGGAAGCCTGCCTCAGTGTGAGGTTCTCCCTGTTATGAAAAACCATTAACAGGAACAAGCTTTGGGATTTGCAGGGAAAGCAAAGGCCTTCTGCTTTCCAGGGCTTTGAACGTCTTGGCTGACCTTGATGGAGACAAAGCAACCAGAGGAAGCAGGGAGGCATCTCTCTCTAGCTGGAGGGAACTTCAAGTGTGCCATGGCATCATGTGTTATTTGGGGAGTCCAACTGGAAGGATAACCTCACAATGCAAGAAGAACAGTAGCTACTGTTTTTTTGTTTGTTTGCTTGTTTGTTTGTTTGTTTGTTTTTTAGCTGAGCCATCCTGCCGCCTGTTGGCAGCTCAGTGGCAGCTCAGCTCGGGCTGGGCATCGAACCGCTGTTGCTTAGAGCTCGCACTTTTGAGCGAGGTCTTAACCAACTGAGCCATTCATCCAGCCCAAGCAGCTACTGTTGATGTAATGCTTACCACATGCTTGTCACCCTGCTCAGTGCTTGAGGAATATTAGCCTATCTGATCTTCACACCAGCCCTATGGGGTAGTCACTATGAGTTCCCAATTTTACACATGGGGACACTTTTAGAAGTTAAGTAACTTGTTCGAGGTCAGAAGGTGGAAAAGGTGGGATTCTAACTGAGACCTGCCTGATTTCAAAGCCTAGTCTCTTAACCTCTACACATTGCCACATTTGTAGAACCGCAAAATGCCCTAGAGAGAAGTAATTGAAGTCCCTTTGTAATATTTACTGAACATTTATGCATGTTTCAGGCATTGTGCTAAGTTCATTACATATATGAGCACATTTGAGTCTCCAATCACCTGTAAGATAGGTAATATTATCTCATATGACAGACAGGGAAGAAAATGGAGTCTCTGAGAGGTGCCCAGCTTGTAAGTGATTTGAGTTGAGAGTTCACCCAAGCCTGTGAACCTCTGGCACCAGCAGTCTCATCCCCTGACCTCGCCCTCCCATCCCTTATAAGCCCCTCTATAGTTTGTCTGTCTGGAACTACGGTGACATGCATTACGGAGCCTGGGTGGGTGTTACTTCCTAGCACGGAGATTCTTTTGGATGGAGAAGTGAGGTCCAGATTGCTTGTAAGCACATTTTCATTTTCTCCCCTCCCACCCCTTCTAAATTAGGGTGAAGGTTGCCGAACTGTCCCCCTGGCTGGACATGTGGGGTTTGACAGCTTGCCTGACCAGCTGGTGAATAAGTCAGTCAGCCAGGGCTTCTGCTTCAACATCCTGTGTGTGGGTGAGTATTTCCATAGCAGGAAATTCTATTACAGAATATGGATCCTTAATGGCTGGATGTGGCTTCGCAGGTAATTAGGTTAAATAGTGTGTCATTCTGATCTACTTGCAAGAGTGTTTTGCTTCTTTTATCCCTCTGCTTGTTTTTGTAAACAGCCAGTTATAATGACATTTTTCCTTGGTCAGACCACACTATGGGGCCATCCATTGGGGGGAAAGTGAGCTGTGTGACACCTAGTGGAAATTTTGTAAGGAAGCTGGCTGGCTCAGCTATTGTTGTCAGGTTCATTTTGACTGCAGAAAACAGGAGCCAGAGCAGAACTGGAAGGGAGGCAATGGCTGTGTGCAGTGGGCTGGGTCTGTCTGTTTCCTCTGCAGCCCTGCTGTGCTTGGTACAGTTTGAGCTCAAGTGCAGGGACCACACAGCTGTGTGCAAAGTTCTTTTATCCCCTTTGAGTATACTTCTGCCTGTACTTTTAGTCTCAAGTGTGGGAACCACATCTTAGTCATCTCTAATGTGCTAATCACAGCACAAAGAGAGTTTTATAATATTTGTGAAATGCACGAATGGACTAACCCCACAGAAACCACTCATTATGCTTCTCAAACACTTTCCCATATTAGCAATTTGGGTCCTTATTAGGGCTTTGTGAAGTGAGCAGAGTGAGTAGCATTCCATCCTTATCAAACAGATGGAGACCCAGAAACTTGGGGAGGACAAGAGACTTACTTGAGGCAACACAGAATAAGTGGCAGAGCCATGACAAGGACCCAGGTCTGTCAGATCCTTTGTTGCTCCCTCTGCTTCTCTAACTGCTGCCATCAATGTCTCTTGAGAACACAAAAGCATTGTGGAAACTGTCAAGCACCAGCTAAATATGAGGAACCATAGTTCCTTGACATTCTCTAAGAATCTCTTCTTGGACCTTCAAAAAATCCCAAATTTGCAAACATTATCATAGCATATAATTTTCACTATTCAGTGCAGTAAAGCATACCTGCATATTTGCAGTGGCCTGCTTCCAAACCTTAATGATTATATAAACACCATAATAAAGCCAGTTTTCACCCTGATTGGAACACTCAAATATGTCTGCTAATTGCCTTTTCTTATTTTTGTATAGAGCATATGGGGAACTCATTCATGTTGAGGATCTGAGCCACTCCTGACATAGCTCTTTTATTCTTTAATGTAGCCTAAAGTTCTATTTCCTAACTAAGGTCATTCATTTTCTTGGACTCTACTTTTAATTTGTCTGCATCCACAGTACTCTGTTCCAGATCATTTTCTGTAGGAGAATAATTGCACACTCAAGGGCAAGTAGAGAAGAGCAAAGTCACTTTTAAATATGGACAGCAGGCAGTCAGCTAGGCTCACTCACTAGCTAAATGACTCATACCCACACACTTGCTTTGGAACCTATAAAAGAAAGATATGTGTTTCACAGATTTTCTTTTTTCTTTTATTTTCTTTTTTAAAGATTTTATTGGGGAATTGGGGAAGGAGAACAGCATTGGGGAATCGGGGAAGGGGAACAGACAAGTTACTGTCCTTTTGTTCTTCAGTCTACTTGTGGAGGACGTCGCTTCACTGGCCCACATTTGTATTATCATTGCGCTCTTCCCAGTTGAGGCAGTTGCTCGCTGGCCTCTGGACGGCTGCTCATGGTGGCTCACGGCAGCTCACAAAAGTGCACACCAGCTGCAGCCCAGCCCCACTGCAGCCTACGCTGTCGCCGGTGACTCACGGCAGCCCAGCTCCAGGTCGAACTGTTGTTCACCATCTTAGCTGTAGAGGGCGCAGCGTCACTGGCCCTCATGTGGGATCCGAACTGGGGCCCTGCTGCTCAGAGATGGCACTCCCAAGCCAGCTATTAACCAACGTGCCACTCGGCTGGCCCAGTTTCACAGATTTTCATATCATGGACCTTAGAGTCCAGATCCAGGCTGTTAATTCTTCAAATGCCAGAAGTCCATTGATGGTTATGATTATTTGCTATTAGGAGAGGGATACAAAGTAAATAAGTCATGGTGGTTGACATCAAGATCAAATGCTATCTCACCCAAGATTAGTGTTGCCAAATCTCTCCAATCTTCGGCTCATGGCCAACTTATTTCACATATTTGATTACTGAAAATTTCCACACAAACATACTGGGTTTTCTTAGCATTTCTCCCAGAGCTCCATATGACCTGTACTGGAGTTGAGGAGTGAAATGACAGACCGATGCTAAGCAACATTTCAACCATTTGGGTGGGCTAGTGAAGCTTTAGGAGGGAGGCCATGTAAATCATGTGTAGGGTGATTGGACATGTGGGCCACAGGCTCCACTAGGGCCTGGAGGAACAGGCAGCCAAGCTCATGACAAAGTGACTGGGAGAAATAGTAAACCCCTATTGTCGAGTTTGCACTCAGCCATTGTACAGCTACAGCTGCTTCAGCATATACCTGCTGTAATGGACAAGCTCAACCGCTTGGGACAGACCCTCCAAGAGTGGAGGGGTAGGAAGGAGGCCCTCACCTACAAGCAGTCACCCCCTATTTTTCTTTCCTCTCATGTCGAGTTTCAGGTAATGGCTGTCCTAATAGCTCCCCTCTTAGCCCTTCAGGTGCAACCATTCGATGTTCCAGCCTGGACTGGGTTAATTCCATTCTTCACCCCTGATCCAAAGAAGTCTACAACTCATTCATCCTGCTCCCCAGCTGTACTCGTGAACTTGTCATTGCTCAGAGAGCCCACAGTTTGGGCCAAGGTCATGAGCAGCTTAGAGTGGCTCTAAGGCTGCAATCTCAGTCCAGCCATGGGACTGAGTCCTGTAGCTGACTTGGCAAAATGTTCATAGCTTGGCTGCTAAAAGTGACTTTCAATATGACCATACTTTCATGCATACCTACTGCCTGTGCATAACTGTCAGGTTTACTCCCTTAATGACTGAGCATAGAATATATTCCCCCAGAGGATTTTTTTTTCTTTTCTGATAGGGCATTTTAAGTGTACAATTATGGTAGCACTAGCTTCCATTATTAACAGAGACCTAGCCTATTTTTAGCACAGTATTATTTATCTTGGTGCTAGGCTGCTGATTACAGGCCCAAATTGAGCAGGGTGGGTACCCTACATGCATACAAAGGTCTGACAATTAAGTTTGTGAACTTGTTGCAACACTGTTGTTAATCTTTTTTGATATCAGAGGGATTATTCATTATGAATTTGTACCAACTGGACAGTTAACCAAGTTTACTATCTGGCAGTGCTTAAAAGGCTGCATGAAAAAGTTAGATGACCTGAACTTTTCACCAACAGTTCATGTCTCTTGCATTACGACAATGCACCAGCTCACACGGCATTGTCTGTGAGGGAGTTTTTAGCCAGTGAACAAATCACTGTATTGGAACACCCTCCCTACTCATCTGATTTGACCCCCAGTGACTTCTTTCTTTACCTGAAGATAAAGGAAATATTGAAAGAAAGACATTTTGATGACATTCAGGACATTGAAGGTAATATGTTGACAGCTCTGATGGCCATTCCAGAAAAAGAGTTCCAAAATTGCTTAGAAAGGTGGACTAGGTGCTGGCATCAGTGCATAGCTTCCCAAGGGGAGTACTTGGAAGGTGACCATAATGATATTCAGCAATGAGGTATGTAGCACTTTTTCTAGGAGGAGTTTGCAAACTTAATTGTCTGACCTTGTATGTGCATGTGTGTATGTTGGGATTGGGAGAGATAATTTTTATGAATCCAGACCCCAATTTACATGTCAGGGTATCAGCTAATGGCACCTGCAATAATTATTTTTAGAGGGCTAGGCACACAGTTGTGAGCATATTATGACTCCTCTTCAACAGATTCTGTAAGGTTGACAATAATTACTGAATGAAGTTACTCTCCCCCCATAAAAACATATACTGATCCCTTAGCTTTGGAAATCACTAGGATCCCATATATATATATAGTACAGGGGGCCTCGAGGAGCCACCAGAGCCAGCAGTACAAATGTTTTATTGGGAAACAGCCCCAAAGAGACTCAGCCCTCCGAATGTGCCAGCAACAGGAAAACAAAGGGTCATAATGATAATATTTACTTTGAAGCTGCTCAGGATTCCAGGCGCAACTGGATTCTGTTGAACTTGGGGGAAAAAATACATACAAGAGAAGCAGGATTGAAGCTCACTGAAGGAGGGAGGAGGGGACAGGCAGCTAGTATTGTATCATGGTCAATGGTCGATTGGGAAAGGCACCTGTCTAAGACAGGCTGCCAGCAGTGGTGTGCTGGTCTGTGTCACAATCTGATTTCAGGAGAAAATTGCCATGGTTTGCAGCATTTGCTGATTTCTGTGGTGACATTACTCCCACCATAGCTGGTTTTTAGCTGCTAACCCGACGTTGGACAGAGCAAGGTCACAGAGCCAGGCATGACCTTGTCCCTGTCCATAGGCTCCCTTGGCCAACTGGAGTTCTTAGAGAGTTTCCTTTTGGATAGCTCCCTCTTGAACTCAGAGATGTTTCTCTTGGTTTATTTCAACATTCAGAGCTGGAAGAGACTTTAGCTTCATGTGACTGTGAGCTCTACGCAAACAGGGATTGGGGCTGTCTTCTTCATTGCTGTATCCCTGACCCCTAAAACTATGCCTGACTCCTATTAGAGGTTTTGTAAATATTTATCAAATGATCAAAGGAAGCAACATGTCATGCCTATGGGACGCACAAGAGCATATTGGTTATAAGCATGGGTTATAAGCATTAGCAATGTCAGACTGCCTCGATTCACATGCTGGCTCTGCCACTTACTACTTTGTGACTCTGGACCAGTTACTTTGTCCATATTTTATAGATGAGGAAGATAAGTTTCAGAGAGTTTGAGAACTGGGGCAAATTCGCACAGCTAGGAAGTGGCTTGGTTAACCCATTTGTAAATTAAGGACAAATAGTAGTATCTACCTTATAAGTTTATTTTAGGGGAATAAATAAGGAAATATGAAGTATTTATAAGCAGTGACTGGCATATAGTAAGTACTTCATAAATGATAGCTATTATTATTACTACTATAACCTGCTCGTCTTATGGAAAAGGAGACTGGGGCCCAGAGAGAGGAAAGGACTCTACTCAGATCACACAGTCATTTAGTGATAACCTGGCTGGGACTCTGAGTTTCATCACTGGCAAGGACTTAATTGCTTAAGGTGCCAGAGGGTACAAATACTAACAGCAGATGAGGAAAAGGTCTAAGCTTTTCTTTGTTACAGTGGTTTGTGACTCAGGATACAAAGATCAACATCAGATTATCCCAGGGAATATAGTTTGAAAAAAGCATATTTAATAGCACGTGTTTTAAATCAAAATTCTTTTTTTTTTTTTAGCTGAGCCATTCTGCTACCTATTGTCAGCTTAGCGGCAGCTCAGCTCGGGCAGGGCATCGAACCGCTGTTGCTCAGAGCTCAAACTCTTGAGCGAGCTCTTAACCAACTGAGCAACTCGGCCGGCCCTCAAAATTCTTTTTTTGAAAAAAAATCCAAAAAAATCCAGTGTTTCCAGAATACTATCTACATTAAGCACACGAGATGAAATCCTCTTGGATGGTGGCAATGATTTAAAAAGGTTAAGAAACCCTGCTGTCCATTCTGAGGATGGAAGAGGAAAGAGAAATTGATCCCTTGGGACTCCTCAGGTTTTCTGCTAGAATCTAATTGCTAAGTCCCCACCCTCTTGCTGACTTGACCTGAGTTAGACCACATATGTGTCCCTGCCCCCCACCGCCCACTCAATACTGGGCCTAGGACAGCGTGGGTAGGAACAACATCCTAGGCTCAGGTTGAGCCTCTGCCAGCCATTTAGAGGGCCCACCCCACCCCCACCCCAGGATCCACATTGATGGAAAGCTGGAACGGGAACACTCAATAGCCATGGGACAAGCTCACTTGATTTTCTGCTCTCTTCTCATGTTGCATTTATCATGATTCCCTAGACACCTTTGGGCCCTTTTCTTCCAGACATTTGTCATTGGGCATCTAATTTTCACAGCCCTTTTGTGCTGGCAGGCAGGCATTCAGGTGGTCATTTCCTCTACTGCCCCTTCTTGCTTTCCTGCCCTGCCTGCTGACCTCCATTTCTGCAGTTGTGCAAACAGGGTGGGCCCCTCACTCTGTAGTCCTGCTCCTGAGGCCTGTGTGAGCCTCGCGCTGGGCACTTTTGTCAATACAGGAAGCTGCCTTCTCCCCTGCTCACTGAGAATCCTTAGGATCAGTGAGCCAGGGAGCCAGTTCTGGGTGCTGGAGAGGCAGGGCCCACAACACTCTAGGAGCTGATTGGCGTTCAGCAAAGACCTCACAGAACCGAAGAGGGAGTGGAGGTGGAGATGTACACAGAAAATGCATTTGGCACATACAGACAGGCTAAAATGTAGCTTGAACCTCAGCGCCCAGAGGGAAGGCAAGTTAAGGTGAAGGATCCACCCTTGTGTTCCTGCCCCAGAGATGCTGGCCCCATTTGCAGTTAGCTGCACCCCTACCTTGGGCAGGGAAGGGGTGATACATTCCATTGCTTGGCCAAGTCTGTCACCTTCCCTTGCAAAGGCCTCATCTCACCAAATTTTTCTTGAGACCCAAATACTTCCTGCTCCTTTAGGGAGGAACGAAGGGGCCTCTTCTGGGAGAATCTTTGCTGTTAATAGGTGTAGCAGACCCTGGCTGGAAACACGATCTGTGTGAGGGACTGTGTCCATGCACCCTGGCAATCAACCCCATTAGTCAGACCTGGCTACGAAAATGGGCTGGGGGGCTGGGGAGCTAGGCTGACTTAAATGTTCTCCTTGTTCTCTCTCTCACCAATCTCTCCACACTCAGAAGCTCTCACCATCAACAGATATTTTAAAAAGCACCTCCTGCATTCATAGCTCATTTGTCAGGAGAAAAGAGGCATGGAAGATAACAATATTAGACACGCCCCGATAGACCATTTGCAGTTAAGCATTGTGCAGCTCTAACTCGAGCCTTGGACAACCTTGTGGATATATGCTGTCGGTCACAAGCGGGGATTTATCAGGCCAGGATTTGCCCAGTGCAAACTCACTCTTGCCTGTGAAAACAGTCAGTGCTCACATCTCAAGGGCTGGAAGCGGGCAGGGGAGAAGAGGCGTGATAAGCAGAATGGCAAGGTAGTCTAGGTATTCAAAGGGCAATCCAAGGTAATTAACTACTGAATCTTGTATTCCTGAATCGCTTGGAGATTATAAGCAGCTGTAGTGCTCAGTCCAGTTTGTGGCCTTACATCAGATGCCTAACTCCCATGCCACCAGTTTCTCTCCAATGTTCTCATTCCCAGAAGACTGTTTGGCTCATGGCAGTGCCTTGACATCCCTTGGGTCTTCCAGGAATAACCTTTGAAAACCCTCTCCAGTGCACCACAGCCCTTACCTTACTTGTCTCCTTGGTGTGAAAGTCAAGACTTTTGAAATTCCAATGGTTTAATTTATTAGTATAGTGTAGCATATTAGTTAAACAAATAAATGACTGGTTTATTTGACATTTAAGGGGAAGAATAATTTGTGCTCTGCTGACTTCTCTCTCTATTAGCTAAAAATGGTCTCACTGACAGCTCAACCCCCTGGGAGGAGAAACTGAGGGAGGCACCGTCTCCCCACTGGGACACACATCTGGGCATCTGCAGAGCACTGTCTGGGCCAGGCAGGGAGGTGATGTAGGGACTGAGAGGTTATTTATTTGATGAAGGACTGCTCTCCCTTTATTTTAAAATGTAAAATAAGCTTTTAATTTTCATTACAAAAGCTACACATATTCTTTGTAGAAAATTTGAAAAATACAGAAAAACATAAAGCAAGAAATGAAAACCATATATAACCCCACCACCCAGACATATCCATTGGTAAGAGTATATTGTATTTCTTTCCAGTCTTTTTCTAGGCATAACTCTACCTCTTAATCACTGCCTGTAACATAGTTTCTTTTTCTAACTATAAAAATAATGCACACTCAATTTTCAAATAAAACATATGAGGAATAGAAGGAAAATTACCCCAATTCCATTATCCTGAGATGACTACTGCTAATATGTTGGTGCGGCTCCTTTCAGCCTTTTTCACTTAACTGAGATCAAACAGTCCATGCAGTTCTATATGCTTTTCACTTAGTGTCTTATTGTGTACATTTTCCCATGTCAATGAATATGCATCCAAATCATTATATGAAATGGCTTCACAGTCATTGTGTGAACGGACCATAATTTATCCTTTTGCTTTTCAGGAGAGACAGGTTTGGGCAAGTCCACCCTCATGGACACCCTGTTCAACACCAAGTTTGAGGGGGAGCCAGCCACCCACACACAACCAGGTGTCCAGATTCGGTCCAGTACCTATGACCTCCAAGAGAGCAACGTGGGTCTAAAGCTCACAATCGTTAGCACAGTGGGGTTTGGGGACCAGATCAACAAGGAGGACAGGTAAGGAAGGCGGATGGGGTGGGAGGCTGGTGGGAGGCTACAGGGAAAAGCTCATCACACAGATCTTGGAGAGGCTGCATGTCATGGTCCTGCCTGGCCCTCCTCTCAGAATGGTGTCTGCAGGCAGCAGATACCTCATAAGCACCACCTCCACCCAGGGTCCCTGTCTAGAGCAACTGTTCTTCACATGCTTTGCCAAAAGAAGAGTATCTTTACAGTATGCATGGGTGAGGTTTCCATTTGGAAGGCATTTTATTGAGCTCCTACTTTGTGTCTGGTACTGTTGTACTCTAACAATCTGAAAAGGAATAACTTTGTGTCTGCCCTTGAAGCACTCACCAGGAAGACCGGTTTTAAACAAATTAGTTCCATCGAGTGTGTTATGCTCTGTAAAGCACAGGGTACAAAGAAGTAAAGGAAAAATTACAATGAGGACATGAAGGAAAAGTCAGTTCCATGTGGGGAGGTCAAGAAACCTTCATAGAGGAGGAGGTGTCCTCTGAGCTGGTCCTTGAAGGATGATCTATTTTGCCAGACAGACAGGGCAAGGAAAGAAGGGCATTCTAGGCAGGGGTAGCTGCTTGTGCAAAGGCAAAGAGATGTGGAAGATTATGACATATTCTAGGGAACTGCAGCTTGCTCTGTTTGGCCAGACCAGAGGTAGAGTTACTGTGAAGCTAAAGAAATGAAACTTAAGCTTCAGGGCCCTCACTTGTACAGGTCCCTTCCAAGGCCTAACTTTTAATCATAATGTTGTATTACCTTTCTTGGGACCCTTCAAATCATATAAGCTCTACAACACCTGGGTCTGTCCCTGAGCTAGTGGTTGGAGTGGGCTAGGGGAAAAGTAAGGGAGATGAGCCTGAAAAGGTAGCAGGAACCAACTCCTGGAGGGAATATAGAATATGCAGATGTGGAGCCACTGAAAGGTTTAAAGAAGTAGAAAGATGTCATCTGATTGGCTTTTGAAGAAGGTACTTCGAGATAGACTGGAAATCAAGAAGAACAATTAGGAGACTATTGGACCAATTGGATCAAGGCCAGAGCTAACTCAGGTTCTGAGAAAGGGACAAGGAGATATTTGATAAATAGATAGAATCAACAGGACTTAGAGTGGGATTGTGAAGGTAAAGAAGAATCTAGATTTCTGGCTTTGGAGAGTAGACAAATGGTAAGAGATAACACAAGAGAACCAGCTTTTAAAGGAATCAGCTCTGTTTTAGACATGTTGAGTTTGAGCTGTCTATGGACCTCTGAGAGACATGATGACCTACAATCGTAGGCAGCTGAATATACAATATAAGAGTTAGAGGTCAAGAGCGGGTCTGGGCTAGAAATAGAGATTTGGGTTATCAAGGTATGGGTGATACATCCCAACCGTGGACACGTGTAAGATCACCCAAGGATCAGAGTTGAGCAAGAAAAACACTGGGCTAAAGACAAAAATCCTTGGGATGTTAAGTCAGCAGATAGAGGAAAAGACATCCTGAAAAGCAAAGGAGCAGGCATAAATAGAGAGGTAGGAAGAGGTCTGGGGTGTGTGAGAATGTTGTGTGAATGAGGGGTGGGAAGAACTCAGAGGTGAGGGTGTGATGAAGGCTGGGGCCAGGGGGCCAAGCACCGCCTGCATTTAACTAGAAGTCACAAGGTTATCACATGTGCTCATCCCAGAAAAGGCCATTCGTCATTTTGAGCAGTGTCTGCTCATTCTTTAAGGATTCTCTTGCTTTTTAGATGAACTGTATCCCAAGTTCTTCTATTTCTCCCTTGAAGTTACAACAGCCATACCCATTTTCTTATAATTAATAAATATATTTAGCTTCTTAATAGTTAAACTGATTTCTGTTTTCCATTTGAAATTCTAAACAAAGGACACCTCTGCTTTCTATAGGCTTGCTTTTTGTGCTAATCTTATTTGGTTGAGAATAAATTAGACCCTGGGAAAAAGGGATATTTGGGTCATAACATGAGTGCTTAATCTCAGCTACAGAATACTCAGGATCTCCTCAGTTAAATTCCTCACAGTTCTCGGTAACATACATTCAGCATATTTAACATTGGAAAACCCCTTGATGATGGTTTGGGAGGTCTGAACTGATATGGCCCCTTAGAGGCTAATTTACTTCCATTATATATGTAAGATCCTTATTGTTTTTCCTGATTATAAATATGATACGTACTCATACAAAATCAAATATGCTAGTCCTCCTTATCCATGTTTTTGCTTTTCGCAGTTTCATTTACCTATAGTCAACTGCAGTTTGAAAATATTAAATAAAAAATTCCAGAAATAAACAATTCATAAGTTTTAAATTACACACCATTCTGAGTAGTGTCACAAAATCTTGTATCATCCCTGTTTGTCCTGCCCAGGGTGTGAATAATCCCTCTGTCCAGAATATCCATGCTGTATATGCTACCCTCTTGTTACTCACTTAGTAGCCATCTTGGTGATCAAATCGACTATCACAGTATCGCACTGCTTATGTTCAAGTGGCCCTTATTTTACTTAATCATCACCCCAAAGCACAAGAGTAATGATGCTGGCAATTTGGATATCCCAAAAAGAAGCTATAAGTTGCTTCCTTTAAGTGAAAAGGTGAGTACAGTACATACAGTACAGTAAGATATTTTGAGAGAGGGAGAGAGAGAGATCACATTCACATAACTTTTATTACAGTAAATTGTTATAATTGTTCTATCTTATAATTGTTGTTAATCTCTTTTTGTGCCTGACTTATAAATTAAACTTTATCATAGGTATGTATGTATCAGAAAAAATAGTATACATAGGGTTTTGTGCTATCTGTGGTTTCAGGCATCCACTGGGGGTCTTGGAACGTATTCCCCGTGGATAAGGGGGGAGTACTGCAATATAAACTCAAATGAGAAGAAATGAAAAGCCTTTCTGAAACTGGGTTGGGAAGCAGAGGTAGGGTAATACCATAAAAAGCAGTGATTCCTCCATACTGACAGGGCCATTTGGGCATAGATATTTCAGTGCAGCTGCATGGAAACAGCATCATAATGCCCGTTTTACCCAAGGTGTGCTGATAAACAGAGCTGTGACGAGGGCCATATCTTGGGTAAAACCACCATTGAAAAGATGCTGGAGCAAAAGGAACCCCAGAGAGAGACAAGACAGGCTAGAAAGGGGAATGCTTAGGAACTTAGGCACTGGTCTCAGACAGACCTGGGTTCAAACCCCGTCTTGACACTTAGTGGTCCAAGGATCTTGGACAAGTGTTTTGTGCCAGTCTCAGTGCCAGTACTATGGCTGGATTGCCCCTTGTGGTTCTTATTTCCATTGGAAGACACCCTCAGCAAAAACCACCAGGAAACTTCGGGGTAAAAAAAAAAGTTTATTATTCTCAGGTCCTGGAAAGTGCAAGGCACACTGGCCACACAGTGTGGTCACAGGTAGACAAAGAGAGAACACATGGGCCTGGGGTTCTGCTTTGATTGGGGTTGAAGGTGTGGGACTAGGGTTTTGTGTGCTCATGTTTTATTGGTGAATTTAAAGCGTAAAAGCAGGAATTTAAAGTGTCAGGAAGAGGAAAAAACTAGCGGTCTAAAAGGTCAACTATGGAAATCAACCAAGATCTCTAAAACAGAGGAGCTTTGGGTGGGGGTGGGGGCATCCTGGCTCTTTATCTTTCTGTGGCTAGTAATGTGTTTATTCAGATAGCTGCCTTTGAAGTGGATGCCTCTTTGAAGTAGATGCCTTGGCAATCAAAGCTTAAGTCAGGCACTTGAGTTACAAAAAAGAAAAAAACAACTGTCTGGGCTTACACTACAGGACACTTAAATTCTCCGTGCCTCAGCTTTCTCACCTGTAAAGTGGAGATGATAATAGTACTATCTACCCTAGAAGGTTGTGGTGAGACATACTTGACATGTATGGCATATGACATACTTAGTGCCTGGCACAGTTAAGTAACTAATGAACAGAAGATATTGTCATGATCATGACTTTTATTGATAGAAGAATCAAGGAAGAGTTGTATCATGTATGAGAGAAAATGATAAATAGTGTCCAGGAAGATAAGACCTGAAAAAATATCCGTTGGGTTTGGCAGCATGAAAGTCATTAACACATTTAGGAATAATTCCAGGGGCATTGTGGGTAGAAGCTGGATTGCCGTGAGTGAATGGGAGATAAAGAAGTAAAAGCATCAGAATAGCAAAAAGAGCAATCAAACAGAGAAGTGACTCCAAGATCAAACTCATGTTTATATGGGACTTGAGCATAAATAAGTCAACAGGGAAAGAATGGACTTTCAAGAAAATGTGTTGGGGAAATAGGCCATCCATTAGGAAAAATTAAGATGAGACCCTCCCACACAACCACTGTTCACAAAAAATAGATTCCAGTTGGATTAAAAACAAATTCTTTTTCAAAATATAAAGAGAAAAATAACTTTGGGGATAGAGAAGGCTTTTCTAATCATGGAACAAAATCCAAAAGTCCTAGAAGAAAACACGGACAGTTAAATTCATTAAAACAAACAAACAAACAAAAACCTTTGTATATTGAAAGATACCATAAACAAAAATAAAAACAAACTACAGATGGGGAGAAAATGTTTGAAACCTATATAACAAACAAAGCATTTTTCTAAGATGTAAGAACTTCTACAGTTCAATGAGACATAAACAAGTAATTGACAGAGGGGAACTATAAATGGCCAATCAACATATGAAACAATGCTTATTCAACTTCACCCGTAACTAGGAAAATGCAAAATGAAACACAAATATATTATTATCCATTAGATTTGCAAAAATAAAAATACAATATCCACTAACACCAGGTAATTTCATTCATGTTGCCAGGAGTGTAAATTGATACAGGTTTTTATTAGAGAGCAAATTTGACAGTATCTATTAAAATTTTAAATGTGAATACCTTATGACCAGCAGTTCCACTCTTAGGTATACAGCCTAGAGTAACAATTGCATGTGTTCATGAAAAGCATACAGAAAGGATGCTCACTGTA